GCGCTACGGAGATGTGTTGAAGCTAGGTGTCAGGACGTCGAATGTTTCAGTACTCTGTCAGTTTTGTGCCTAGTTATTGCACTTTCTGACTGTATATAGTATCCAATTACAGTGATGGAGAGTTCCTCTTAACTCGTATCCATATGTCCTTTTCTTTTCTACATTTATTTATGGCTCAACATCCGAGTTTCAAATAATAATAATAATAATAATAATGATAATGATAACCGCGATCAGTAATACCAGCTGGATCGACATTTGTGTACACTTTATTCATGTAATGTAAAACTGTGGAGACAATGTGCAATAAAACTGTTAAAATTCACACTTGTAAATTTCACTGCTGTTGTTCTTAGTGTTATTTCTCTAACTTAGATTTTCTATAATAGTTCAATTTTGTTTCAGTCATTGTCCTTTAGTACAACGAAGATTCCTGATGAGTGTTGTACGAAAACTTGTTTGAATCCTCATTTTCTCTACACCATTTCTTCACATTTTCATCGTTTTATTGCACATTGTCTCCACAGTTTTACATTACATGAATAAAGTGTACACAAATGTCGATCCAGCTTGTATTACTGATTGCGGTTATCAAATTGTTGTCTCCTCGCCGTTTGTTCAAATAATAATAATAATAATTTATTAAACTCGGATGTTGAGCCATAAATAAATGTAGAAGAGAAAAGGACATATGGATACGAGTTAAGAGTAACTCTCCATCACTGTAACATGATACTTTATACAGTCAGAAAGTGCAATAACTAGGCACAAAACTGACAGAGTACTGAAACATTCGACGTCCTGACACCTAGCTTCAACACATCTCCGTAGCGCTAACCGACAGCCTTCCAACTTGGAAGGTTCAAGGTTATGGAAAGACCAAAGAGGGGAAACGTACGTCGTGTGAAACAACTTGTTTTGTAGTCAACTAGTCCATCACAATGTCATGCATGAGGAGTACTGTAGGAGTTTGGCTTTCGGCTTGTACAATTCGTTTTCGCAAAGCTTCCCTTTCTTTACTTATCTTTGATATTTATGACCCACCCAAGTTGGGTGGTGTGCTGCTTTGCTGCTTCGAATTGTAGTTAGACCGCTTTGTCAAATATCGTACTGGTCTCGTCATCGTCCAGTAACAATCGACATTCTTTGTTCCGTTGGGACTGTAGCTTTTGCTCGTTTTCGTTGCGCTTGCCTTCCCCTCTTTGGTCTTTCCATAACCTTGAACCTTCCAAGTTGGAAGGCTGTCGGTTAGCGCTACGGAGATGTGTTGAAGCTAGGTGTCAGGACGTCGAATGTTTCAGTACTCTGTCAGTTTTGTGCCTAGTTATTGCACTTTCTGACTGTATATAGTATCCAATTACAGTGATGGAGAGTTCCTCTTAACTCGTATCCATATGTCCTTTTCTTTTCTACATTTATTTATGGCTCAACATCCGAGTTTCAAATAATAATAATAATAATGATAATGATAACCGCGATCAGTAATACCAGCTGGATCGACATTTGTGTACACTTTATTCATGTAATGTAAAACTGTGGAGACAATGTGCAATAAAACTGTTAAAATTCACACTTGTAAATTTCACTGCTGTTGTTCTTAGTGTTATTTCTCTAACTTAGATTTTCTATAATAGTTCAATTTTGTTTCAGTCATTGTCCTTTAGTACAACGAAGATTCCTGATGAGTGTTGTACGAAAACTTGTTTGAATCCTCATTTTCTCTACACCATTTCTTCACATTTTCATCGTTTTATTGCACATTGTCTCCACAGTTTTACATTACATGAATAAAGTGTACACAAATGTCGATCCAGCTTGTATTACTGATTGCGGTTATCAAATTGTTGTCTCCTCGCCGTTTGTTCAAATAATAATAATAATAATTTATTAAACTCGGATGTTGAGCCATAAATAAATGTAGAAGAGAAAAGGACATATGGATACGAGTTAAGAGTAACTCTCCATCACTGTAACATGATACTTTATACAGTCAGAAAGTGCAATAACTAGGCACAAAACTGACAGAGTACTGAAACATTCGACGTCCTGACACCTAGCTTCAACACATCTCCGTAGCGCTAACCGACAGCCTTCCAACTTGGAAGGTTCAAGGTTATGGAAAGACCAAAGAGGGGAAACGTACGTCGTGTGAAACAACTTGTTTTGTAGTCAACTAGTCCATCACAATGTCATGCATGAGGAGTACTGTAGGAGTTTGGCTTTCGGCTTGTACAATTCGTTTTCGCAAAGCTTCCCTTTCTTTACTTATCTTTGATATTTATGACCCACCCAAGTTGGGTGGTGTGCTGCTTTGCTGCTTCGAATTGTAGTTAGACCGCTTTGTCAAATATCGTACTGGTCTCGTCATCGTCCAGTAACAATCGACATTCTTTGTTCCGTTGGGACTGTAGCTTTTGCTCGTTTTCGTTGCGCTTGCCTTCCCCTCTTTGGTCTTTCCATAACCTTGAACCTTCCAAGTTGGAAGGCTGTCGGTTAGCGCTACGGAGATGTGTTGAAGCTAGGTGTCAGGACGTCGAATGTTTCAGTACTCTGTCAGTTTTGTGCCTAGTTATTGCACTTTCTGACTGTATAAAGTATCATGTTACAGTGATGGAGAGTTCCTCTTAACTCGTATCCATATGTCCTTTTCTCTTCTACAATAATTTATTAACTGGTTTTGAGGGAAAGAGACAATAATTATAATAATAATAATAATTTGAGGGATGGCCCAGAGGCGTATAGCCTATCCAGGGGTTCTCCACTTGTGCGATATTGAATGGGTAGCATGCTAACCAGCTCCAGTTCCTCAGCGGTACTCATATCGTTAACTGGTTGACTGATTTGCAGTACAGTCATGTAGTTCAAACACGGGGACTGGTCTGTAGATGTCCATTGCTTGTGTGGTCCATGCAATAAGGCTCTGACCGCTAAAAGTCGACTGCAACTGTCAAGGACACATGCCAGGACCTGATATCAGATTTTGGTCGTTCGAAGTGAAGCGACTCGTTACGCCCGCGGGAGAATGTGTGGTGTGAATTCATGGCGACACAGCCTGCCCTGAAGTGACTACCAATGTTTATTTCTGGGCTGATAACAGATATTGATGTGGCTACTCCAATGCAGATGATGGTAGCGGATCTAATCAGGTTTGGTGACCCGTTTTGTCAGCTGGCCCTCGTCCGTAGGAGGCCACAGACCGTCTGGTACAGTAATATGGTGTTTTCGCAGAAGCTCTTGATGACTCTGTAATCAGTGAGAGGCCAGTGGATATTCATACTTCCAAATACTACCGGTACACTAATAGCAGACAAACATGTACTGGAATATATGTATGGTGTCATACTGCACATGTCTGTGGGAGAGTTGGATCACGCACTACACTGGGTAAAGTTATAATATGTACATGCTTTTAAAAGCGGTGGAGAATCTGAAGACCAACATAACAGTCATTGATATGTTCCAATATTCACTTGTACATTCCCACTTTCGTTTTATCTACCGGAATACATGAACATTCTAGCACAGAATTGCAATATAGAGAAATACGCACGTGGAAGGTAAGTAATCACTCGGAATCAGTTGCATCTCAGAGCGTCATGCCTATAATCAGTATAGCAATCAGCAGATCGCTGATGATGAGAAACTGAAAGAATGTCGCCTGGCAAAAAGCTACATTTGGATAAAATGTCATACCTAGGTTCATGTACATGCCTAGTCATTGTCCCGATCTCAGGTTTGTAAACGTTGGCAAGTATACTGTCCTATAGCTGCTGCCATTGGTGTTGACTAGCACCTACACAGGGAATTGAGCGAGTTAGCGCTCTGAGTTGCAAAAGATTCTGAGTGATCCCCTTTCTTCCACGTTTGAAATGCTCTGCGCGTAGTGTATCGATGACTATAAAAGATCTGCAGTTGTTGTTACTTCTGTAAAAACCGAAATACATGATCTTTGACGTAGAGTCTGCGCAGAGGAAGAAGGGCAAATATAGATGATTGTATTGCTGTAGCGCTGAGGTTCAGCCAGAAACGATCAGCTGACTGCACTATAATCATTTAAAACCTACATGTGCGTGTGCGTATGCTTGATACTTTGCATAACATTTACCTGATCGTTTACATGACATCCCCGTCACTCAGGTCTAAGAGCACAATACACTGTACATTGTCATTGGGAATTTACCACGTGACTGGAAAAGGGAATGGAGTACAGAACTGGGATTCCTGAGAGCCGATCGTGGGACCAAAGGCAAGTTGTATCGTCACGATTTGCCTGTCTGTGAAGGAGGGACGTACTGCTACTTTTTCTATTATTTTCTTCCGGAGAGTCACGTCGTAGCAAAACCCAAATGGCACAGTTATATCCTTTTCTTGACTGCCCTGGAGACGCGTAGCTCTCTTGCTGCGCCAAGTTGTGCATTTTCGTAATCACGCCATCATGAAAAGTCTATTTCCATCTTTCTCCACAGGACAATGGTCATAACTACCCGAGTGAAATAATGCTGGCCAGATTTTTGCACATCTCCCAGGGCGCAGAAAGCAAATGTTGCCACTTTGATTGCCGCCATTTGCCTGAACAAGCCACGGACACAGAGACAGATCCTGTCAGCTAGGAGAATAGGGGATGACAGCATCGTATACTTGAGCAATCCCGAAGTCTGATCTTTCGCACTCTGCACTCAGTCGCGTGCACCCCCGGACTGGAGCAGTGGACCGTCGGTGCTGAGAGCCGCCTGTCTTCAAACTGAAGTGCTCTCCGTGGCCTGTCCAGTTCCGACTGGGAGAGATGGGCAGTCCCATGCTCCGCTAACAGCGATGAGAGAGCCCCGAGACAAGTGCAGAACCACAAACGATGGCATGTTGTCAGTTGCGGTCCACACCGAGAGGTTGCTGGCCATTGCTACCTTCAATCCTTTGGGCAAGCCTACAATCTTCATTCAGTCGCTCTGATTATTTACCAACCGTGAGACTGAGAATAATGTAATCGTGAATTCCAACGACAGGGACTGCTAAACTTTCCAGGTTCAACAGAAAGCAGCTCGTTGTTTTGCTGTGGCGGAGTAGAAGACCGTACCAAGAAGTTCTGCTGGGTCTTCTCTCCAAGAATTCGTACTGCCCTGCGAGTCTATGTGGTAAGGTTTGCTATGCTCGTGTTGCAGTCTTGCTGTTGAAAAGTTTACTGGGTGTGACTCTGCATTCGAGGGTCGTAGCTCTGCTCTCTACCCTCTGTGGGCAAGCAACGCTGTGGACATGGCGAGGACGACGCCTGCACACGCGGCGCGTTGGCCCCTGGTCATCCTGATCTTCACTCACGCTGTGTCCGGGCAATTCCTGAACGTCGTTAGCAATGTGTCGCAGAACATCCAAGTGGCCACCGAACAGACCTGGGAAGGAGCTACCCTGTCGTTTTGCATCGACACGACAGGCAGTATGTACGATGACTTGCTGCAGGTCAGGAATGGCGTCAGGAATATCTTCAGAGCCATCTCGGAGCAGCAGGAGATCCCCATCGTCAACTACGCGTTGGTGACCTTCCATGACCCAGGTAGGAATCTGTGAACATCCACTCACTGTATGGGAATGAATGAGACTGTGCGAGAAGAAATTGGTAAAGACTTGTCAGTAATATTTGGACACACTCTTGCAGGCTATTAGCACCTTATGGAATTGTCACTGGCATCATGGTGGCGGTGACTGTGATTCGCCGTTAAATATAAATGGTGGACTTTACCTGTAAAATTGTATTGCGATGGGATAGTACATGTAGATCAAAACATCCCCTTATTTGGAAATATTAGCTGGTTCATTTGCTTTCAACCCACAATACTTGTGCATCATGTACTAGTAGTACTGGTGGGGTGGGTAGTAGTACTAGTAGTAGTACAGTAAGATCGGGCGCCGAAGAACTCAGGGGCTCGAGCGCAGCCAAGGAAAGTTCTTAAATTTTTGATTCTAGCCAGACCGTTCTTATTCACACGCGCGCGGCGAGTCGAGTGACGTCATGACGTTTGTCATGTACATGTACTGATCAAGCCATCTGTTGTTCTGACTAGTGTACATGTACATGTACATGATGTAGTGCAATGTACTACTAGTGGGTGTCGTAAATGGGAATGACTGTATACATGTACATGTAGCAGTTACTGTTTACACGTGTACATGACATGCACTCACCTCCCATACCAAACAAACTGATTTTCAATTATCATGGCCGCATCTCTTCCTCTCTCTTTCTGCATAAAATCGGAAAGCTGTGGAACTGCCTTCCACCAAGGCTGACATCCCAAGATTCACTTTCTAAATTTCCACAGCAATATCGCTTGCACGTGAAAAGTTTTAAATTTGACTGTAGTGGTATATCCCTGGACATTTAAATTAATTGTTTTATTTTGAACAACCCAGCCCTGTGTTTATTGCTCATTATGTAGCATATACTGTAACACGTGTAGTTTTCCTCACTGTTTATTTCTATTGCATGATTTGCATCAGGAGATCCCCTCGACAGGCCATCGCCTCTGGGAGATCCTTTAATAAAGATTATTATTATTATTATACATGTACAATGTAGATCTACGTACAATGTAGATCTAGTGTTCTTAAATCTGATAATTCTAGCCTGGACTGTTCTTAAATTTTGCCGGTTTTCCAGCCTGGGTGTTCTTCGGCGAGGTGTTCTTCGGCGCCCGATCTTACTGTAGTAGGGCTAGTCCTCTATTCACAGAGTACTCAATCCTCAACACTCAACAGGGCAGAGTTGGTGCTGCATATCATTGTAATTCTATTGTCTTCAGACAAAGACTTACAAGCTAGAGACTAGAGTGTAGAGTGTAGCTGCAGTGAAGATCATGCCCAGTACAGTACATGTACATGTACCTGTTGTTAGTTTGACAGCATGAAACAAGGTGGAGGACACTGGGTTTACCTAATACACTGTACTAGTATTGAACTAGTATTGGGTTATACAAATAATATGTATGTACTGAAGTACCTGTATGGATCCTGGAAGATTTCGCGCAACACAGTCATGGATCTCTGATAGTGTGATGTCTTGAGGCGAAACAACCCCCAGGGCTTCATACCAAGAGTCCTGTCAGCATCTGTCAGTACACAGGTCCTCTACCACAATGACTTTATTACCAGTACTGTTAGGGCAGATAGATACGCTTGGTGGATCATTCTGGCATAGTTTCTGGCATAATCGTCGGATTTTGTCTAAAACGTATGCCCTGGCATAAAGGTCGTCTGAGACCACACGGTCAGCATAACCTTACGATGCTGGCAGAAGATTAATGCTCCAGGCATATTTTGCCGTGTTACAGGAAATAACCTGGTGAATGTTACCCCTTATAAACCGTGCTGTCATGGTACCAGAGTCGTTGTAACGTTGCGGAGTGCAACAAGGGTGCAAGGCACTTGTTGGATAATGCTTGAAGAATCGGCAGATTCTGCTCGAAAAGCAGTGCAATTGGCAGAACCATACAAACCTTATGACAGGCACTTCCTTGACCTCTGCTCCATTTCTTTATCCACATACCGAACAGTTACATGCATGAAACATACCAGAGAAAGTACCAACTCTGCCAAGGCAAGGGCTCACCTGCCAATGGGGGGCCGAAAGCGCCATGCATCAGGACATAAAAGACACCGGTACGCGGTATTCTTCACGAGCCGTAGAAAAGGTCAAAGTTCAAACGCAGATGCATGGCCTCATAGTAACACTTAGTTCAAACCCCAATGCATGATAATTATGACCTATCCTCAGGCTCAGACACTCCTCTCGAGGTCTCCCACAGGCTCAGGCGTCACCATGGTCACCTACATACTCACGTACATAGAAACAAATACGTCATTGCTGATCAGGGAGTTGCCATATACCATGATCTGTCCCCGGGGAAAATTGCGATTCCGCGGCCGCGTTTTTTCCGCGTTTTTTGCGATTTCTTAAAAGACCGCGTTTTCCGCGATTTTCCCGCGTTTTTCTTTTTACTCAAATATGACGAGTGCTTACACCAGAGACTTGTAACTGATTGATTTCACTACATACTCACTGAAAATTGCCGCACATCAATATTATTCACCGCATATTTACCGCATATTTACCGCAAGTTCACCGCAAATTATGCCATATTATGCCGCGTTTTTCCCCGCGTTTTTTGCGATTTTTTCCGCAATTTTCCCCGGGGACAGCATGATATACCGGAAGTCGACCTACTGCGCCGCATGCAGTGCCAGTTCTGGTTTCCTACCGTATGATCATAGCCTGCACTGCAGAGTGCAGTGCTGCACTGCCTGCAGCTATCAAGTATCATGGTTCTCACCTACGTAGACATGGTAGAAGCGAACTGGCTACCTTCACTTTTCTTCAGTAGTTCGTACATCGAGACCTACATGACTGCAGTCTCGCTTCAGTCAGAATTTTTTCTTTGCTGGCATCTTTCATCAAAGTAAGATTGCTCTGGAAATTTGAAGAGCCCGTATTCAGGCGTGAAACACTTGGCCAGGAGTAGATCAAGAAGTAAACTTCCAACTTTACTTAGCAACGTACCCGGTCCTTAGAAGGAAATGCTCGATAGCTTCTACCGGGAGAAACAGAGGTCAGAAACTACTTCGAAGTAGAAATGAGCACATTGTGGTATTTTTGATGATAGCCTCTGCGATACTTAGCCAGTCTGCTTTGCACCTTTGCAACTGGATGCACAGCACCGGCATTTGGCTTTATTCTAGTCAGAGTCCATTACCCCGAGCGAGCACTGGGCGAAACAAGGTACTGGTATATTGATGCATGGCGCAGTGTTGTATGTAAGCCAAAGGCAAAGGTGTTTGGCGCATTGCGGAGGAAAACGCCACTCGGAGTCGGGATGAGGTCGCTACTCCGATTCACGTTCATGTTGTCGCCACGTGCGGAAGCTCTTAGTCCAGGGCCGTCCAGCACATTTCCAGCAGTTGTGGTTACTTCAAAGTATGGAAAATGTTATGGCTGTTGATAAGTGATCTGGCAATTAGTGTGACTAGTAGAATCTACCTGTCACTGCCACAGCCCTGTGCGGGGTATGCTGGATTTGGAGAGGGCTGATGGCTGTAAATACCAAATATGGCTTCTTTCCCTTGGCGAAGCAACCACAATTGGTAGAGAAACGCTCTGTATGCATGGTGTGTATTCCAACCATTCTGTTAATTGACAAATTACTTGTCTAAGTAGACCTTTGCACTACTTCCAATTACATGTAGGGCGATCGTTGTGACCTAGGATTGAAGAACGGGTTACGTGATATCACACCATGTCACATGAGTGTATGTTGATCAGAGATGGTGTGAATGTGCTTTGTTGTTGTTGCTGCCCTGCGGTGCACAGAGGTTAACCTCGCTACGCTCACTGCCGATCAGGCGACGTTTGAGAATGCGGTGGAGGCATCGCTGGAAGTGCACGGCGGCGGGGATTGTCCCGAGATGGCAGTCGGCGGTATCAACCTGGCGCTGCGACGCTCCCTTCCGCGGTCATTCATATTTGTGTTCACTGACGCCTCGGCCAAGGACTACCAACTGAAAACCCAAGCACTGAGCTTGATTCAGGAAACCCAGAGTCAGGTATGTGAGGGATGCCGACCCAATCCACTTACGCATCACCACCATACCGAGCATGGTTTTGTTGAAATTGCCAGACCGTCTGAAAACCTGATTTCTTTCTAACACAGGTCATCAGTGGAAATAGAGGATCATGATTGATATTTTTATTGTAAGGTTCCTCAACTCAATCACAATACGGTCTCTTTGCTGCATACGTCATTCACTGTTCACTAGGAGGTACCCTACTGTAATATGTAAATGGCTGCAGTGGAGTCTGCGAGTGCTTAGAATTTTTTTTATTGCATTGTATCTATCTTTTCTTATTGTCTACAAACTCCAACGCAGCCACTTACACATTTAGCAAACTTCACTTCTCAACTCCAAAAAACGGTCTCTTCACTGCCATAAAAATTAAAATTATTAACATTACACCAAATGTTCGGGCCTGGCCCATCATATCCCATCAGAGTTATGATCCATTACACTGATGATGGGCCAGGCCCGAACATTTGGTGTAATGTTAATTTTAATTTTAATGGCAGTGAAGAGACCGTTTTTTGGAGTTGAGAAGTGAAGTTTGCTAAATTGTATCTATCTATTTGAGTTCGTTGCCTCAAGAAAACGAAGTAAGACTATCATGATGAACGAGCAAGAAGGTCCACTTTGCATGGCTAAAAAGAATGAGAAGAAAGAATGAGTTTGTCAGACCAAAACTTGTGGAGTTAGGCACTTTTCTTACCTAAAGAGAAGCATGGAAAGTCCGAGAACACTGAGGTGTGAGATGATGACAATTCCCACAGAGGTGATAGCATAGGCTACATTTCTGGAACATGGTACTCAGTGTTTGATATGGTGTGAAAATCAGTGACCTGACAGTACAGGCCCTCCCTCATTATAACGAGTCCGGTTAGTACATAAACCCCGTTAGTAAATAGGAATCTGAAGTTCCCTGGCGAAACGTGGTCTATACAACTGTTCACAGGTTCGGCTACAACATAATTCGTTAGTACATAAAATACGTTATAACGACGCCTTGTCCAGGTCTCTGGAGTGCCAAACCCTCAGTATAAGAATAATATTGACCATACAGCACCAAGGCCAAAACACGTAGGAAAACGCAGAAAGACACAACGTATGTATTCGTAGATATGGACGATCTTTTGCATCCGAGGAAGAGCTATGTTGGAGATTTTCAATTATCTTATAACGAGTTAAAGCTTCGATAATTTATGTTGTATGGAGGGTAGCCCAGGTAAGTACGAATTAGTGCCTATTTCACCTTAAAGCTGCAAGTCCTGTTACAAGATAAGTCTCGCTATAAGATAACTTTTTCGATGGCCCAGAGATTATCTTCTAACGAGGGAGGACCTGTATTATGTTAGACATACTGCTTTTAACAGTAGCCCGGCCCATATATACATTGCAGATTCAAAAAAGTTTTATTGAGAGGTGTTTGATTGTACTCATACCAATGCTGTGATAAAGTTACTTCAGTATGCAGGACTGGCGCGATTCCTAGTTGCCATTCAATCGACCCTGTCCTGTCAGTGGGACCCCAACATTTAGTAATCTCTAATTTTCTTTTTCGAATCTGTGTACACGTGAACAATACGTACACATGACAAAATAAAAAACAACACCTTTTTCTCATCCATTTTATGTGTATGGGTCACGCATTCATCGTTGTTGTTATAGCTCTTCTTTCTTGCGCTGTTTCTATCACCTCTCTACTGTACATACTTAATTCGTTGTCCTTGTTCATTTGCTTTTGCCTGTATTTCACCTGATGATGAGACTTGATTGAAGCAGAAGAGTTTGTAGAGGAGTTTGTACGAAGAGAACTGAGATGTTGCGACTTCGGCGGTAATTGTAGAAGAAGGTGGCTGCTCCAAACGTTGGAGCTTGCCAGTTTGAACGAAGAGAAGGGAAATGTTTTGAACCAGATGAGAACCATGCATGCGTGTATGGCATAGAATTCTTGTATGGCACACCTAAATCACAAATAGGACATTCTAGGCTAGTGCACTATTGACACTGGTCATCAACAGGACTTTGTTTGCTGTTCTTCCAGGTCATATTTGTATTGACGGGTGACTGTAATGATCAAAGCGCAGAAGGGTTCCGAGCCTTCAAAGACATCGCTGCTGCATCAGCTGGCCAGATTTTCTTTCTCCGGCAAAAGAATGAGGTAATGAGTCACTCCAATCCTTCACACATGTCTTGTTCATCTTCATAGTAGCTGTACAACTGAACAAGGTCGGTCTAGTCAGCTCGAGGTAGCCTCTATTGAGTGTGTATGTGTGTGTTACTACCTGTACACTTCTGTGAGTGATAATTGTATGCGAGGTGGTAGTTTGACTACGCTTTGCCCCAAGCCTATCTGTAAACAACCGCTTCAAAACACTTTCCATGTACTCCCCTATGAAGCCTGAAGGGTAGAACATTTGAGGTGCACGTACCATAAAATACTTTGAAGCATCCCAGACCATGGGGGTGGGGCTGGTCCTGGTGCGGGCGATGGCCGTGGTGTGGGCAAAGTTGTATATTTCCCTACTGCGAAATGCACAGACATCACCCTTAAACGTTGCTTAGAACCATTGGTCCTTTACCCTTCATTATTCTACACCATGCCATACTGCAGACTGTACTCTACACTGATTGTGATCTTCCTTTGTGGCATTTTCTTGAGTTCTACTTCAAAGTTCAACTTCAGGAACACGTAAAAAATTAACTCAGATAGTACCATATTTTACCGGTTGTAAGTCGACCCCGGTTATAGGTCGACCCCCGTATCCGTAGTAGGGAGTTCAGTTCCGGTCACAGAAAAGCGAAAAGTGCAGTCACAGCTCGCCTGTACAAAGTGAATGGGCGCCTCGTGACTGCAGTTCGAGATGCAGTTCGAGGCCCGAGTATCTTCTCCCGCGGCCTTTTCGGCCTTGTCGATGCTATTTTTAGGTAGCTGAGGTCATTACCTTTCCATTGGTGCCACACATGCCATGCTTCCAAAAATAATGCCACCGCGCTAAGCGCGGATGCACTTCGAAGTACTAATTTCGACCAGATCCGTACTCCGCCCCACGAGGAACACCCGATTTTCGTGTTCAGCGGCCTCGAATTAGCCTAAACCAAGAGGATTCTAGAACATTGAGGCTCGCGCTTTATCGCGGTAGAAGGAAGATGATCACAGAGACCAGCCCACGGCGATTTCCTGGTGGTAGACGAAAAAAATCGAGTGAACTGCGTGCACACTGTAGAAGCAGTGACGGTGAAAACGTGTGACTTGTGCAAGCAGGCGCGCACGGCATGCGTGCACACTGCAAGGCATGCACACATCCTGTATCGCCATGTACGCACCAGATAGTGCAGTGCTGGACGGAAACCACACGGCTCACATACATACTTGCATTTACTTCTGTGACTACTTTCTCCCTCGTTTTTCGATCTTCAATCGACTAGAACTCTAGATTGCCTTGGAATTTTGGGTTCAAATTTTCACAGGTTGTTTCTCACATCTTCCTGGTTTAGAAAAACTAGCTTTTTAACTCACGAATTTGGTTTTTCGATTGAAGTCCCTATCCGGAGGTCTCAATTCTGCGTTTTAAAGTTTTCACCCAAAGAAGCACTACTAACCTCTCCCTGCTATGAACACATCAACAAATCATGTAAACATTCCTTATTGGAGGTTATAACATCCCAATCCTTGAAAAGGCCAATAAACTGGAAAATATGTGTACACATAGTGCACTCGTGCATGCAGTGCAGGTCTTTTTTTTGTAAGATACTGATAGTTCCCGGTTATAAGTCGAATCCCGGTTGTAAGTCGACCTCCACCCTTTCTCCTTCTATTTTAAGTCGTAAAAGGTTGACTTACAACCGGAAAAATACGGTATGTGTATTATTGTATACATTTCCGTTCTTTTTCTACTTTTGTTGTTGTTTTCATGGCTAGCTATATTCTACGCTATCCTCTTCTTTTGCCTAATGCAGTGTGATTTTGTACAAAAAAATCACAAATGAATCTTTACCACTGGTTATGCATGGTGTGGGTATTCTCCTTTACTTGCAACCCTTGTTTCCTGTAGGTCGCCGAGGTATTGAAGTTTATCGAGATCTCTGTCAACGCTAGGCAGGTGAACATACTGTCGGTGGAGACACGGCCGGGTGCTGCACGTTATCAGATTCCCGTTGACGGCAGCTTGCAGCAGCTGATTGTGTCGGTAAGAGCAGCGCATCCAAAACAGTTGTGAACTTCTATGTCTACATGTTGTTGATAGTCGACAGGCTACCGTGAACTGCTATGTCTACACCCTTTTGATCATGCACAGGTTATTGTGAACTGTACTGGTGATGTGGGACATACAAGACATTCATTCTGTACGTATTTTCTTGGCCACATGTTCAAGAATGGATCAGTGCCTAACAGGGCTGAGAAGACGGCCTTATAAACCCAACCTTCATGTCTCTGTTATGGAGTTTCTCTTCAGGCAGGGGGAGTTATTGGCAATACTCACAGGTTGTGTGTCCCACGGGCAATACTGGAATGCTCTGTATTTGCCAGTGACTGAGGGGCTAACTAACGTCCTCTTGCGTTTCATAGGTCAGTACAAACACAACAACTGGAGTCAACGTTCGTCTGCCGGATGTTCGCGTCATGAGTCCCAATGGCCAGGAGTTCTTCCCGACCGTCGATCTCGGCTCTGTGGTCGTGATAAATATCACCAAGCCCGCCGTGGGCTGGTGGAATCTGTTTGTGGACTCACCACTGCCGTACAGCGTGCGCGTCAAGGGCGTGAGCCTTCTCGACTTCAAGATACACTTCACGGTCGCGAGTGGAACACAGCGTGTCTTCATCACCAGGCCTGTTGAAGGTACAGTCGACTCCTGATATAGCAAACACGATTGTGCAGGCGAATTAACTCTTTATAGCCAAAGTTCGTTATAACAGAAATGCACTCACCCTGTACAAGCAGC